GGTCCTAAGAACCATCCAGCCCACTCATTTGTCCCAGGTCAAAGCTGAAGCTGAGTGAGGGTGTGTCCACCATGTGGCCATCTGCGTTTAGACAGCTGGATTGGAGGCTCACATTGCCCCTCATGGGCTGTGTGATTTTAGAAAGCCTGTGGAAGGCAGAAGTTCTGAATCTAAGGTATGACATGTGATAGCTGTAGCCAAAGTGGCACACCCTTCCCATGCCCAACTGGCCTCACCTCCGACCACTCAGATGCCTCTGTGTGAGTAGGACTGGTGCTGTCCCCATGGCACAAGAGAAAAGACAAGACACACAGCCAGTGGGTGACAGAGCTGACCTTGGAATTCCACCATCTATCTTTAGAACCTCATTACCACACTGCTACTTCTGTAAGGTGGAGCCAGGGCATGGGCTGGCTGCTGGCTGTTATGTGAGGACCGAAGCAGATGGAAGACCAGTGATAATGATGCAGATCTAGCAAAGCACCTTGTCAGCAGAGAGCAGCTAAGCAAATCTCCTACAGTTAAGGGGTGACTAGGGCATGATGGTGATGGTGGTGAGGGTGGTGGTGATGATGGTGGTGATTGTGGTGATGATGGTGGTGGTGATGATGGTGGTAATGGTAGTGATGATGGTAGTGGTGATGGTGGTGATGATGGTGGTGATGGGGATGATGGTGGTGATGGTGATGATGGTGGTGGTGATGATAGTAATGGTGGCGGTGATGATGGCGCTGATGAGGGTTATGATTATGATGGTCATCACCATCATATGCTTATCCACATATATGTTTACACACACACATATACATTTACCTGTGCTCACATGCTCAAATACACACTCACATATATACCTGTATACACATTCTTTTCTTACCTACATATACATATATGTGCACATGTATATAACACTTGTGTAAACACACACATGAATACATGTACTTTCACACATGCATGTGTGTATATGCTCCCATACACCTGTACACATATGTTTAGCCACACAATGTGCATTTTAAACATATGCATCTGTACTCACATGTGCTCATATGAACACATGCAAGTACCCACATAATATAGTCACCATAAGCCTGTACATACAAGCTCTCTTGTATACATGTACACATGTATTTATATATGCATGCATTGTACTCAGGCACACATGAACATGTATGCAGGAATGCACATGTGCACTCACTTTCCATTACACATTCCCTCTCTGCTCTTGGCCCTGTGCCCTCCAGCCCAGCCAAAGCCCTGCCCACTGTCAGCACCCACTGGTTTCCTAGACAACCAGCACAGAACTGCCATTGGGATGGAGACAACCTGAGCAAGTCAGAGCAATACTCAGAATGAGCAGTCCTCGCACCATTGGTGGCTATGCTTTGCGTCCCACTTACCCTTTCCAGCCCTGGCATACGTGTGATCTGAGCATGGATGTCCCAGGGATAGTCAGACCTCCCTGTGTCCCTTCACAGTGATCTAACCCCTGGGCACCTCGCCCAGCCATAGAAGGCCAACATACCTGGGCTCCTTCACCTGCGCCTGGGGTCTGGCCACTTGTTCCTTGGGTCTCTTTCTAATCCCTGCCCTTGGGTCTCAGGGTCTGGCCCTTGTAGACCTCACACAGATTCAGGAGACCATCAGGGTCACATCTGGGTACCTTTGCTTTTGACATGAAGTGTGACACCAGCGTGCACAGCTTGGCTGGGCCCATCTCTAGCACAGTCATTGCTCCATGCTTTGAGTACTTACTCCAGTGCCCTGGACTGGGGTTATTTGCATGATGGGGCCTTTGGTTAGTTCAGAAAGCCCTGATTAGTGGGGAAGCCATGGCAAGACCTAGCAACATAGCAAGTCCCTGTCCAAAAAAAAAAAAAAAAGAAAAGAAAGAAAAGAAAAAAAGCAACCTTCTCACTGCTGGGCTGCTGGGGACTCTGCCTTACCCACAGGGGAGCCAGTGGTGAGACTGGCAAGCCCAGACCACAAATCAGGAGGTCAATTCAGAGAAACAAGGTAATGCCCTGTCCTTGAGTCCTAAGGACAGCACGGGGTACATCCCTGACCCCCAGCCTACAGGCAGAGAAGGAAGGCACTCACTCCAGTGCTGACTTGAGCCTGAGTGACATGGGTGGGCATGCAATTTGGTCTTGGTGATGCCATCCATCGAGTTCACCCAGTCACCCCTCCCTCCCTGTGAACGAATACCCACGGGTTATGCAGGATGGGACGGGGCTGTCGGAATTCAGGCAGTGGCAGTATGGGAGTGACAGGTGTAAACCGAGGATGGCGGCCCGTTCACTATCTTCTGTCAGCAGTCCAGCATTTCGCTTCTTAGCGTCCATCCTTTGTAGACACAGTGTGTCCTGGTTGCATGCTGTTGCTGTGCTAAAACTACTACCAAAAGCAACCTGGGGGTGTGTGATTATTTCATTTTAAATGTCTGGGTCACTGTGCATCCTTGAGGGAAATCAGGGCAGGAACTCAAGGCAAAGAAACCTGGAGTCCAACTTCTCACTATTGCATCCAGCGTTACCTCTGACCAGAGAACTCGCTCACAGCCAAGGCTTTGCAGCAGAAACCCTGGAGGAAGCGGCCTGCTTGCTCACTCTGGGGTTCATGCTCAGCTAGCGATCTTATGCCAACTAGGGCCACCTGCCCTGGACACGGTGCTGCCCACAGTGGGCTGGGCCCACCTACACCAGTTAAGACAATCTCTTATAGACACAGCCACAGACCAACCTGATTAGGACAATTCTTCAGCCGAGATTCTCGCGTGATTCTCGGCTGTGCCACATGGATGGTTAATATTAAATCCGAGTGACCAGTTTATATTCCTGACAACTTCACTTTGGGCCGTCAGTTTACTGTTTGATAGAGTGCATTTCCTAAAACTTACATTGCTTGTTTTGTTCGCAAAATGCCATTGCTTTCTTCTTTCCTTGTGAGGGGACATTCTAGCAATTGTTGGCACATTTTTGTTGATGGCCTTCACGCTGTTTGGTTTCAATACTAGACAAAGAAGTGGTTGATTAGAGTTGTAGTGTACACAGCCTGACGTTTAACCTACTGAGATGCCTTCAACTTAAATAAGATATTGCCCTATGAAGGGGCCCCAAGAAGGAGCAGGCCCACAAAGGGTGACATAGTAAAGGGGCAGAGGTGTCTCTGAACTGCGTGTGCACCCCTCACTGGGTTTCCATGTTGGTCTCTGACTGGGTACCCCAGTGGCACTCACAGTGAGAGCCAGTACGCAGAAGCACCTGGTGAGTGTCTGCAGAGAGAGTGGTAACCATCATGGCTGTAGGAGTCACAGTAAGCAGGAGCCTTGCGTGTCTGTGAAAGGAAAAAGGATGGAAGGTGTGAGGACACAAGCATGAGCAAGCCCTAGGACCCCGGCTGCCCTGCTTGTCAGTGAAGGAAGGGGGCAGGAGCTGCTGGAACAAAGAAGCCCCAAAGTGCAGCCCAGAGTGACAGAAGTCTGATTTCTTTTCCCCTCATGTAGTATACAATGTATACTTCCACCCACTCTGACATACAAGGCCTGTGTGTGTGTGTGTGTCTGGTGTGGATTCATGTGGAGGTCATAGGTCAAGATCTAGCATCTTCCTCGGTCACTCTCCACCTTACTCTTTGAAATAAGGCCTCTCACTGACCCTGAAGCTCTCCAATTAGGCCTGGCTGGCTAGTTAGCGAGAGCACCAGGGATCCCCTCCCTCCAGTGCTTCTGGGCCGGAATTTGCACACCTTTATGCCTGTCTCTTTACAGGGTGCTGGGAACCAATCTCAATTTCTACTGCCTTTGTGCAGACATTTAGGTACCAGCTGTGCCTTGGGGCTCTTCAGTTTATCTGTGATGCCCTACCCTCTGGGGCTTGAGACTTGAACTAGGAGACAGCAAAAGAAGAGAGGGATAGCGGAGGGGCTTAAGAGCCCAACTTGGGAGCACCCCACTCCGAGAGAAGAACCGACCACTCAGCCACATCCACAGTGCTGGGGGAAGCTGGGAAATGCAGTTCTAGCTCCCACCTCAGTCATGCCTCCTTTAAGCCCAGGAGGGGATTCCTTGCTCTGTAAGAAGTGGGGTGTTTCTCTGCTCTGTAAGAAGTGGGGTGCTCTATCTCTGCCTCTAAACATATACAGACCCGGGACCTCTCTCAGAAACCTGCACAGGGAGGGGTGAGTTAAAAAACAATGCTGACCTTGGAATGAGAGAGGGGAGAGACTGAAAAGAGACTCGCCTGCCCCCCCACCCCCCCACCCCCAGAGCTCAGGCCTTTGCTTCAAGCCATTTGCTCAGTTCCTCTCAAAGTTCCGCAGGACTCGGAAGGAGGCGGGGCAGGGAATCTTGTCTGTGAGGGGAATACCTTGAAGCTCACTGCGCTCTGTGCTGCTTCCAGCATTTGCAGCTTTACAGCCCCCCCCCCAGCCCCGTGCCATCTGCTAATCTAATTACAATAGTCATATCGTCTCCAGCGATCTTACATCTGAACCTGCTGAGTCAGGGAAGCAGGCTTAATGAGGAGCGTTAATCATGTGTGCTTAGTTTAGCCCTTTTTTGTTTAATGGAAAGCAACCGTCGTCGGGATATTAATCCTGATCATGTCTCTCTAGGATAAGTCCATCATCGGAAATCTCTGAGATGAGAGGCCTGCCAGCCTGGGCACCAACATTTGGGCAAGCAGGTCTAGCAGATTCCACCTGAGGCGGCTTGAAGGCTCACACTCACGGTCCCTGCTCTGAAGAGCCTTACTTACCCTTTCACGCTAGGGCCCAGGAGTCCACCTGTGTTTTAGAGTGAGCTCTTTGCTCTATGGTCAACCCAGGGTTCCCAGCGTCCCCACATTTTTGCAGACTTGGGCCTCCAAATCATCTTGTCTCCCCAGATGTGTACCTATGCAGAGTGAGTGTCACCCTGCCAGGGGCAAGTCAGGTTGATCCAACCTTTTGCCCATTCAGTGTATGGGCTGTGGCTTTGCTGAATGGTGTCTCTCTTCCCTCTGCAGAAACCCGTGCTGACCGCAGCAAGAAACTCTTCCGGCATTACACAGTGGGCTCTTATGACAGCTTCGATGCTGCCAGGTAAGGCATGCGTCTGTCTTCTGGGGAACTCCAGCCTCCGGTGTTCCTGCATGCCTTGGGAAGAGGTGTCTGCTGTGCAGCTCGAGGACACCTTTGCTTTGTTGTTCATGTGTCGTCTCTGCTGGGGTTGTATCGGCCAACCATTTACAAGAGAACCTGTCACAGACGGGGCCTGCATGCAGTTGCCTGTGGAGGAAGCCCCCATGAGAGGGCAATGAACTTTAAGGAAGAGGGAGGGATGGCTTTATTGAGAAAAAAAAAAAAACAATTGAGATGGGATAGCAGGGCAGAGTTGGGGGCCGGAAGCAGAGTGATGGGCGTCCTCCAATAACTATTGAGTCTATCCCGGTTCTGGGCTTCCCCCTCACCTACGTGTGTCCATATTCTTGTGGTGCTTTCTGCCGACTGGAGTTTTGTTAATGAAATCTTGCTCTTCTTAATGGGAAGGACCCCAAGTTGGCAGGTATTCTAGGCTCACGGGGTTCGGAGTTTGTAGAAAGCTGCGTGTTTCCCATGGTATGGCAGCCACAGCATACAGGATGAAATCTTCCCACAGAAACCATGCTCGGACAACAACTGTTGCGAGAACCCCTGGGTCTCTGTGTCCTGCCTCCCTACCTCTAAGTGGAGCCAAAACTGGGACAGTGGCTCCAACAGCAGGCCAAGGTTGACAGCTTTTCTGTTGCTCAGGTCGCTTCCCTGTGCTTCAATCAGTTACAATGGTTCACATCCTGGGAGTGAAGTTCATCTGTCCCTTTCTCTGTCACAAGCCACAGTTCTGATGACACACTGGGACAGAGGTCTAAGGGAATGCCTGGTCTAGACAGGTTCATCCTGGGTGTAGGGATCAAGGATGCGTGGGGATGCATGTGTGACTTGAGAAAGACAAAGTCGTACAGGTACATGACGACTGTCCCCCACGAGGGCCCTCTGCCCAGCCCTGCTGGGCAGCCAACCATGAAACCAAGAGACTGAGAGGCTATCAGCTAGATCCCATCTGAGGAGGGCCACCACAGGAGGGCCCAGCACCCTGCACTGGGCTCCCCCTACTCTAGGGAATCTGGTGGTCAGTTCTTGCCTCTTTCTATAACTCCTGTCTCTTGCTGAGGGTTCTACCTGAGTCTGTTACTAAGACAAGAGTCCCCAGTGTGTGCTTTCCCATTTTGAGGTGCAGAGTTCAGCGAGGTTAGCACATTGACCAGAACCACCTCTGACTGGTTCTGAAGCCTGCCCACTGCAAGGAAAGTCCCCAGCAGCAGTCATTCCCGTGGGTCGCTCCCCAGAGCTACTGGCAGCCATTCGTTTTTCTTCTGTGACTCAACCCCCTGGCATTTTACCCATTGGTGGATCCTTGGGTGATGTCCGCCATGATGAACGCCGTGCCGTGGGCAATCCTGTTTGAACGTGTTTTCGGTTCTTTGAGTTGTGTGCCGAAGAACACAGCTGCTGTCTGATTTGGTATTCATACTGTCTGTCCTCAGTCACTCTCAGAAACAAGATAGACTAGGCTGGATGTGGTGGTACTTGGGTGTAATCCCAACATTCTGGAAGCTGAGACAGAAGGCTGATGAGTTCAAGGCCATCCTGATCTACTTAGTGAAACTGTCTCATAAAAAAGAGAGGAAAGAGCTCCATCAGGAGTCCCATGCCCCTACCCTGCCTCCTTCCATTGTCTCTATCCCTTTTTGTTGTTTCCTAGGAAACTGGGGATGGCATCCAGGACCTGGCATATGCTAGGCAAATGCTGGTCTTGCATTGATCTACACTCTAGTTTCCACTGCCCCCTTCCCTGACTTGGTATCCAATGTGACCTGTAACCAGGCCCTGTGCATAGGGAACTGTACACTGGAAAGGAAACTCAGGGCCAGTGACTTCTGGGAAACCTGGCCAGTATGGGCCCTTAACAGGTAGCCACAGTCAGCAGCAGCGGCCCATATGTCCATCTGACAAAGAAGGCCCAGGCAGAGCTGGTAGAGAGCTGGGGAAGACTGTCACCATGGCGACGTGAAGGGCTATTTAGGCAGGGAGAGATAGGCCCTGTGGGGAGGGGGAACCCTAAGATGGAAGTCTCCTAGCAGTGACCACTTTTAGGGTGGGCCATTGATGGAGCATGCCTGGGCCACAGAGCCATGCACAGGTATCTTGCTGTGTGCACAGCCATGGGGATGGCTGTGTAGGCATACTCTGCTCCTTCGTCAGCCACCTCCCCGCAGAGCAGTGCCGGCACTTGACCTGGAAAGCAGAGAGGACAAGGTAGGGCTAGGGGCATGACCCCAGACAGAGGCACATCACAAAACTTCCATCAGGAGCAGGCGCAGGTCATCTGGACAGAGCCACATGGGGTTTACGCAGCGATGCAACCATGGAGAGTAGTGCCAAGCTGGGACCAGCTAGCAGCTTCCGAGCCAAGGGCAGAAGATTCTAGATTAACGGTCGGGTTGGGCAAGTGGTGGGCCTCCCCTGACCTGCCATTTCAGATAAAAGAAACAAGAGTGACATCTGCACCATTCATCTGTCCCCTCAGCAGCACCAGCCACCGTGTCTCATACCATCGGCAGCCTGGGAAAGGAAGGTCACTCAGAGCAGTAGAAAAATATGGAAACTGAATTAGGGGTCAAGTGATGGGGTGAGTCCCCAGCCTCATAAGCACTTAGGCCTGCGTGTGAGGCTGGGACAACTGGAGGTCAAGATATTTCTGCTCACAATGGCCCTGGCGTAAATGGGCCTGTGAGGAGAAGTCTTGGTGAAGATAGAATCCTTGCTGCCCAAAGCATCACTGGGAAGGAAAACCCTGCTTTTGTGGCTGACAAAAGGCCATCGAGCTTGCTCATCCAGATGTAGGCAATAAGAAGGGAGCTGGCTTTGACCACGAAGTGACCGGCAAGGCAGGTAGACTCAGGAGTTTGTGGGCGGAGAGGCAGAATGGTCTCCCATGTAACAGAACTTCCAACAGCTGCATGGCCCTGGTGGGTGGGGGCAGGAGAAGGACAGGCTAGCCATCACTCATTTGACTGAGCAGGCAGGAGGCGTCTGGGGAGGTGGGCAGCTGCAGTGCAGAGCGTACATCAGTTCATTAGGAAAGGCCAAAAGCACAACAGAAACCCAGCCACTGTCCCGCCCCACCGGCCAATTAGCCGGTCTGTGTGGTGTGGCTGTGGTCTTTGCGAGTGCCAACAAATGAGGCCGCGTGGCTGCAGATGCTAATGTAATTAAAGAAAATGGGATGGGAAGGAAGGCGCAATGGAGACATTTTCCGAATCAGCCGAAAGCCATCTCCCCTTCCCACCCCTTCGTGTGTCATGTTAGCCCAGAGGTTCAGCGCTGAAGAGATGAACGAGTAAAACAAGCCCAGGCGTTAGCACATGTGTCCGGTTCCCCCTGTAGGTGGAAGATTTAGATGATAGGGATTTAGAAATAGACACAGCAGTCAGAGTCAGACAACTGAGGTCCTGGGGTCACCACTGTGCAGGACTTTGCAGGTATCTGAGGTCAGTGTTAAAAGCCAACTCTACACGAGGTGGCAACTGCAAGTCCTCATTCTTCATTAATCAGGTCCCCGCCTCATCAGCATAGGACTCCAGGAGGAGATACCTGGCTGGGCAGAGGAACCTCGGGGTTGTTATACGCTGAACAAGTTCCATTCATCCACCCATTTTTCCTACCACCCATCCACTCATGTATTCATCTGTACATACATACATACTTACATACACACACACATACACACACACACCTGTTCGCCCATTCACTATTCATGCAGCTGTTTATCTACCCACTCAGCTGTCCATCAATCTAAGACCTGTTTGCTCATCTATCCATTACCCATTCATCTATATAACCCTGTATCCATCTGCCCATCCATCCATTCATCTTCCGTTCATCCATCGGTCTCTACATCTACTCACCCTTCCTCTCTTCCATTTGTCTAACCATCCACTCAGTCATCATATTCTTCTACCTGTGCACCCATCCATGAATCCACCACCCATCCACCTACCTATCCATCCATCTGACCATCCCGCCATCTCCCCATCATCATCCATCCACCCATCTCCCCACCTATGCCTCTGTCCACTCATCCATCAACTCACCCATTCATTCATCTGTTGACTCCATCTCCCATCCCTCACCAGTCCATCCATTCACCCAGCCATAACTAGTCATCATTCATTAGCCCACCCACATTCATCCTTCCCATCGACCTTATTCATCTTCCATCTGTCTAACCAGCAGTGACCAAGACTTGTTTATTCTGAGAGTTAAAGATTGTGAGGTCATGGGTTGATGGCTCAGTGGCTAAAGCACTTGCCATGCAGCGAGAGGACTGGAGTTCTGATCCCTAGATCAAAGGCACCAGGGTTGCCTGTAATCCTAACACTCAGGAGCAGAGATGGGATTTCCTACACAAGATGGCTCAGAAATTAGCTGGAGCTGGAGGACTCTGGGCTCATCAAGAGACCCTGTCCCCATAAATAAAGTCATTAATGGAGGCATCCAGCGTCAACTTTGAACCTCCACATATACATACACACATACACATTCATCATGCATACATTTGCCAACACACATGAACATGCATATACATGTATACATTCACATATAAATGCACACACACACACAAACAAAGATTTTTAGGTCAACAAGAGAAACGATCTTAGATCTATTACAAGCAGTAGTCTTTTTTGTGAAGACAAACAGTGAATTCACTCAGTACACCAGGGAGTTGCCCCAGCTGTCAGTTAGTGCTCTGAGCAGACCGGCAGACCTTGAGCGCCAGAGCAAGCCGTGTGAGGCCAGAGCAAATGTCCCTGAGGACAAACTTGGGGTGACTCCCAGAGGCTGAGGAGGAGCCAGCCATTCAGACAAGGCTCAGAAACTGCAAAAACATTGAGGTTGATAGAGAACACAAGATGGCAAGGGGCAAGGAACACACAGAAGATGATGGCTTAGGAGCCCCAGGCTTTGGGGTGTCATCAGCACATTTAGTGGGAAGATACTGG